CCAAGTCAGATTCTGTTGAGAGATTCAAAGCTGAGGAACACACCTTATGTTTACGGAGTTGTGGTGTTCACAGGGCATGATACTAAAGTGATGCAGAACTCAACAAGCTCGCCTTCGAAAAGGAGCAGAATCGAAAAGAGAATGGACTACATCATCTACACGCTTCTCGTTCTGCTTATCTTGATCTCTTGCATAAGCTCATCAGGGTTTGCTTGGGAGACAAAGTTCCACATGCCGAAATGGTGGTACTTGAGACCTGATGAGCCTGAGCCCTTAACCAATCCCGTTAGTCCTGTTTACGCTGGAGTTGTCCATCTGATCACTGCTCTGTTGCTTTACGGATATTTGATACCGATCTCTCTCTATGTCTCCATTGAGGTTGTGAAAGTCTTGCAAGCAACTTTCATCAACAAAGATTTACACATGTATGATAGTGAGAGTGGGGTTTGTGCACACGCACGCACATCGAATCTGAACGAGGAGCTTGGACAGGTTGATACTATCCTTTCTGATAAAACGGGGACTTTGACTTGTAATCAGATGGATTTTCTGAAATGCTCGATCGCTGGCACTTCTTATGGAGTGCGTGCCAGCGAAGTGGAAGCTGCTGCTGCGAAGCAAATGGCTGTTGATCTTGACGAACACGGAGAGATATCCAGTAGGACAAGTACTCCAAGGGGACGGGGTCAAGAAATTGAGGTGGAAAATGAAGCTGAGAACAGTCCAAGAGTTCCTATAAAGGGGTTTGGTTTCGAGGATATCCGGCTGATGAATGGGAACTGGTTGAGGGAGCCACATGCAGATGACATTTTGCTCTTCTTTCGAGTTTTAGCTATTTGTCACACGGCTATTCCTGAGCTTAACGAGGAGACTGGCAAGTACACTTATGAAGCAGAGTCGCCAGATGAAGCTTCTTTTCTTACTGCTGCTAGTGAGTTTGGTTTTGTGTTCTTTAAGAGAACCCAATCAAGCGTTTATGTTCATGAAAGGTTATCTGCTTCAGGGCAAACTATTGAAAGGTGAGACTACTTAGAGATCCATTCTTAATTCTTTGATACTACAGTAATTGGTTTTAAGAACACATCCTGAATATGTATCAGAAACAATGCAGGGAGTATAAAGTTCTGAATTTGTTGGATTTCACTAGCAAACGGAAGAGAATGTCAGTTGTTGTACGTGACGAGGAAGGACATATTTTTCTGCTGTGCAAAGGAGCGGACAGGTTTGGTTAAAAGCTAGAAAAGATAGCTTCTGTTTGATTTTTGTTCTGTCATATGCATATAACTTTCAAACACTTCTTGTTAATGTTTTTGCAGTATCATTTTTGAACGACTGGCGAAAAATGGGAAAAAATACTTGGGACCTACCACTAAGCATTTGAATGAATATGGAGAAGCGGGGCTCCGTACTCTTGCACTTTCATATAGACAGCTTGAGGAGGATGAATATTCAGCTTGGAACGCTGATTTTCACAAGGCGAAAACTACTATAGGATCTGACAGAGATGAGTTGCTTGAGAAGATATCGGATATGATCGAAAAAGACCTTATTCTTATAGGTGCAACTGCTGTGGAGGACAAGCTCCAGCAAGGGGTATGTATACATATATCAGACAAGATACCTTAGTTCCATCGCCTCACTCTTGTTTTATTCTAAACTGAGTTTTCTTTTTAATTTGACTTAGGTGCCCCAATGCATAGATAAACTTGCCCAAGCTGGCCTCAAACTATGGGTTTTAACCGGGGATAAGATGGAAACAGCAATCAACATTGGGTTAGAAAGACTACCATTCATTGAAGCAGATTCACATTTATCTTTAAAGCTCTTTGACCAACTTACTTTTTTGTTTTGGACTGCAGATATTCGTGTAGTTTACTCCGGCAAGGCATGAAACAGATATGTATAACTGTGATGAACTCAGAAGGAGGATCCCAAGAATCAAAGGTATGGGGATAAGATCATTTCCCTTTCTAAAGAACGGGGACCGTATGTGTAGTCTGATCTCTTTCCCATCTACAGTTTGAAGTTTCATTTGATATGTCTTTTGATTTAATCAGGCTGTGAAGGAGAATATCTTGAATCAAATCACTAAAGCTGTACAAATGGTGAAGCTAGAGAAAGATCCACATGCCGCATTTGCTTTGATCATTGATGGGAAAACTCTAACGTATGCATTGGATGATGATATGAAGTATCAGTTTCTTGCTTTAGCGGTCGATTGTGCGTCAGTCATTTGCTGTCGTGTGTCTCCCAAGCAGAAAGCTTTGGTATTTCCCCCCTTCTCTTATCTTATGCCATGTATCTGAAAACGTTGGCGACATGACTTTCTTCTGCGTCTAACTTTTGTTTCTTTTTTTTCCTAAACAAGGTAACAAGGTTAGTCAAAGAGGGAACCGGTAAAACCACATTGGCAATAGGTGATGGTGCAAATGATGTTGGAATGATTCAAGAAGCTGATATTGGTGTTGGCATTAGTGGGGTTGAAGGAATGCAGGTTAGTGTGGTCTCTGTACAAATGTATTCTTGGTATTTTTTTTGGTAGCTGATGATTAACTTTCTTCTGCAGGCTGTTATGGCAAGTGATTTTTCAATTGCCCAGTTCCGGTTTCTGGAAAGATTACTCGTCGTTCATGGACACTGGTGCTACAAAAGAATAGCTCAAATGGTAATATGTGTTTACAAGATCCACTCTGCTTCTTTGCATCCTATTCTACTCTTACTCGTTAGTGGCTTCTAAGTTCTAACACATACTGTTCTGCATCCAGATCTGCTATTTCTTCTACAAAAACATAGCATTTGGTCTCACTCTCTTCTATTTTGAGGCATTCACCGGATTTTCTGGTCAATCTGTGTATAATGACTACTACCTATTACTCTTCAATGTCGTCCTTACCTCATTGCCAGTGATTGCCCTTGGAGTCTTTGAACAAGATGTTTCCTCTGAGATCTGTTTACAGGTAAGGTTTCATTATCTTCAGTCAGAACTGAGAAGTTAAAACCTTAAACATCTACTAATCTTTCTTTTCTCTGCAGTTTCCTGCGTTATACCAACAAGGGAAGAAGAATCTCTTCTTCGACTGGTATAGAATACTCGGCTGGATGGGAAATGGAGTCTACTCCTCCCTCGTCATATTCTTCCTCAACATTGGAGTCATCTATGAGCAAGCTTTCAGAACCAGTGGCCAAACTGCTGACATGGATGCTGTCGGTACTACAATGTTCACCTGCATTATTTGGGCAGTGAATGTGCAAATCGCTTTGACCATGAGCCACTTCACTTGGATCCAACACGTCTTGATCTGGGGAAGCATTGGTTTGTGGTACCTGTTTCTTGCGCTCTACGGTATGATGCCTCCAAGTTATTCAGGCAACATCTACAGAATTCTACTTGAGATTCTTGCTCCTGCACCCATATACTGGGTAGCCACATTATTGGTCACAGTGACGACAGTACTCCCTTACTTTGCCCACATTTCATTCCAAAGATGCTTACATCCATTGGATCATCACGTCATTCAAGAGATCAAATACTACAAGAGAGATGTGGAGGATAGAAGGCTGTGGACTCGAGAGCGTAGCAAAGCAAGGGAGAAGACGAAGATCGGGTTCACAGCTAGAGTCGACGCGAAAATCAGACATCTACGGTCAAAGCTCAACAAGAAACAGTCGAATATGTCACAGTCTTCAGCTCAAGATACAATGTCGCCAAGGTCATTATAGCTACTCTCTATAAGGTTCATCGATGGAGGTTTTGATTCAGACTGGAGACAGCTTTTGATGATGTCGTGTGTGTTTGACATGGAAGAAAGTAAAAAAAAAAAAGGAGAATTTATATAGTGTGAGCTTGAGAATGTAGCTGACTGATTGTTTGGGTTCTTTGTTGTATCAGAAACAGAACTACACATAGATTTTTGTTCTTGTGTATACTTACTTAGTACAGATTGCAACACCAAAATTGAAAGTATCTTCCTTTATTCCACTCTCAGATCTTTTTGTTATTACTGCTGATTTAGATTTCAGAGAATGTTTGAGAAAAAAACAATCTTTTGACTGCTTTTCATAGTAATATACTCTTATATGACATGAGTTCGATTCTTCGAAGCAGCAGACATGAAGAAGCGTTGTCCATGACTGTGTCCATGCATATCCATATGGATACGAAGTGTTGTAAAATAACGAGGCCTTTTTTTTACAATTTGCTTTAATTGTGGTGAAACAGATTTTTTTCATTCTGCGATCCTCAAAAACCCTAATTTTCACCACGCCGTCTGCAACAGTCACGAGTAAGGGCTTCTGGAGTTCTAGTTACAATACCAACTACCGTTTCCGACGAACGACATGGATCCCTCTACTTCTCACGTTCCTGCGCCTGCGGAAGGCCAAGGAGGTACTAAATCCAATTCTTTTTATGCTATAACTTTCTTAGGGGCTTAACTTTTTTGTGATTTTGGCCATCGATTTTATCAACACCTATTTCGCGCGTTCCACCTAATTTATTAAATCAAGGGAATATCATAAAAAGTAGGTTTTGAACTGGGATTAGGCATATATGGACATCCTTAGCCGTCTATTACTATATAAGTATTTGATTTACTGTATAGAATATTTCTCAACCATATGGACATCTCTACCGAGCTATTTATTATACAAGTTTTACTTGTGTCCTTCTCCTTTTTGACATCTTTAGCGGCATATTACTGAGATTGATTTTACTGTTTAGGATATCTCCGACTCCTTACACAAATTTTCGTAGCCATATATGGACATAGCTATTACACAAGTTTTACCTGTGTATTTATCCATTTGTACAGCTTTTCTGTACGAGGTCCTACTAACTGTGTTCATGGTCAACTTTCAGGAACAAGGAATCCCCTTTGGGATGATAAACTTCCGCCAGGCTGTTTGCAACTGGAAGATACCCTGTTGCTTGTTGTGCAAACGTATACTCTAGGCTCAAAAATTTGATGCTAATTCATCGCTGCCTGGGAGACAGCCCTGTCATGGACCAGATTAGGAGGTCATGTTTTGGAAAGCTCTTTGAGATACCATTGGCTAGATGCTCAAACTCAGGTAAACTCCTACACCAGCTCATCACGAGACAACTAGTCACAAGAAAAAAGTATGAACTGTGGATGGTATTCGGAGGACATCCTCTCAAGTTCAGCCTTGCAGAGTTCGCACAGATTACTGGTCTTCCTTGCGGAGACATCCCCAAAGATGTTGGAAACAAGATTGAAAAGACTCCGGACGCAACATGGAGAGAAATCATCGGAGAAAGTGCAGACACAACTCTGACACAGATTTGCAACCTTTTGGAAGACAAAAAGACCAGGGAGTCGATGTCTGACGATAGGAAACTCAAGCTCGCCCTAATCCTTATCGTTGATGGTGTTCTTATCGCCAATCTACAGCATCCCACTACAAAACCTACTCCCAGATACGTCACCATGCTATCTGACCTTCAAAATTTCCTTCAATATCCGTGGGGCCGCGAGTCTTGCTTAATCACCATAGACTCACTGCGGCCAGCACTTCAACCCGTTAAGAAGAAAGACGACCCTATCAAGAAGTTCCGTGCAAGGCTTTTCGACGGGAGCGTTGTTCTTAAAGGTTTCCCAATAGCCCTCCAGCTCCTAGCGTTCAAGAACATCCCCAAACTACTAGAGTGGCTTCCTAGCATCAGAGGACCACACTCTTTGGGATATCTCTCCCGACACTGTTCCATCACGCACGCCTCTCAAAGAGAATGACGTTTTGCTTGCTGAAACGTCCCATGAGGTAAACACTCTATACACATTTCATACATGGTATGCAATGAATTTGAGCATAAATTTCCATCTATGCAGTTGACCGTCGCACCTTAGTTAACCATATCAGATCCCGAAATACTTGTTAACGCCAAATGGAAGGATGAAGAAACGGACAATCACGTCTTGTATCTTGAGGAGAGAATTCGCAAGGGAGATTCATTCAACCTCACCGAGTGGCCAAAAGGGGACGCAACCTTAGAACTGCTGGTCCCAAAGCAACCGAAGCCTAAGGCTGCACCGCGTAAAAAAAGAACAGCTGCTACAAAACTGTCAGATGACTCTCCCACCTCCCAGTTGCTCAAGGAAAATCAACTCCTTGAGGAAGAAGCTAATCAACTCAAAGCTGAACTTGAAAGACTCGAGCGCAGGTTAAACACTAGTTCCACCATGTCTGAATCTGCTACAAGTCCATGCTCAGAACGCGACGGAGTTGATGCGACGGAGATGAGCTGTGAAGACAGGCTCTTGAAACCGAGAAACATACCCACTCCTACTCAAACTTTTGTGGTAAACACTTTATCCTTCAAGCTTTATTGTGATTTTTTATTTCCCTCCTATCATTTCACCACTGCCTCGCTATGGCAGGAAGGCACATCTACATCTTTGGAGGAGGTAAATGTTGCAAGTTTACTACTATCTCTTCAGGAAGGCACATCTACATCTTTGGAGGAGGTAAATGTTGCAAGTTTACTACTATCTCTTCAGGCTCAACGCCTCACACCAACAGAACCATCCCCTGCAAAGGAAACAGACTATACAACAGAGGTTACCACGTTGAAAACATTTATTATCCGCACAGATTTAACATCCATACTTACAAAACTCGATCCCATGCAGGTGGCTCTTACTACACAAACGGACATATCTCTTCCTCCATCGACAGAAGGTCCGACCACACCAAATAACAGTCAGGTCAGAACACCAAACACTTGTAAAAGGATCTTGTGAGCTTACTATCAGCTAAACCAAAATATTATGAGATTACTATCACCTAAGTTAATTCATAAGCTAACTCAAACTAAAATGGCCACTTACACTTCTCCGACTGATTCGTAAGTTAACCCACACTAAAATGGCCGCCTCTTGATATACCACTATTTCATCGTACCAGGGTCAACAACTCGCAACACCTCAAGGATCGCCTGCAAATGAGACGGACAAAGAGGTTTGCACGTTCAACACATTTAATTCTCGCCACATATTTATGAATGCTCGACAATACCTATCTAAAAAAACTCCCAGCAGGTGGGAGTTACCACACAAACGGACACCACACTTCCCCAATCGAATCAAGGACCGACCCCACCAACTAACAATCAGGTCAGAACACCAAACCTTTTATCATTGTTCCCTAAAATGACGTCTGCTCCCTTAAGTCCTTAACAACATATACAAATTCTTCTCAGCATAACTCTCCAACCAAGAAAAGAAAACTCACTCCTTCAGACTCCGAGACTATGCCCAATAAGGTAACGTGCATAATACTTTCTACCTGCTCTTGGATTCTTAGTTAGGTCTGGAGAAATAGAAGCAGGGGATTTTGAATTCTTCTATGATTTCTGTCTTTTCTAAGGTTTTGAATGGATACTTTTCTTCCTCTTTCTGCAGAAAGCTGTGGACCGAACCGAAGAAATGGCTGAGCCAGAACAAGAACCGGCTCAGGAAGAAGAGACGGTGAGTTATTATTCTTCCTTCTCTGTATCTAGACCTCAAGCTTTGCCTATATCACCATGCAACAACGCTTTTTCATGAATTTGTTGCCTACACTGTTGGGATTAGTTTCGCCTGACTGGTTTACCTTGATTTACCACATTTGCGACTTAACTTGAAGCATGATCATGTACTACATGAGCAGGGGCAGAATGTTGAGGGTGGAAGAGGCCATGAGGGTAGCAACTTGGTGGGATGTGGTGCGGAGACAAGAACACCAGCAGATGATGCATCAATCACTGCCGAGGTGGTCTTGGACTCACCACCAGCAGAGCATGATCCAATACAACAAGTTAACTAATTAACAAAACAGATCTCGTCCCAAACCTTTTCTTCTTGTTCATACATACACCACACGCCCATCCATATGGACACACCTTCTCGGATAACCAACTCCCGTTTCAATTCTCATTCTCTTATAGGATTCAGCAGATCCTATAATAAACATTAACAAAGCTGAGGCTCTTCGAGCCAAAGATATGGCACAAGATTTGATGAGAAATTCACATTTCTCCACTGCTCGTACAGTTGCAGCGAAAGCCCGGGAAATGGATAAAACCCTGGAGAAAATCGATCACATGATAATGGTGTGTGATGTTCACTGTGCATTGTCGGAATCACGGAATGAGACTGATTGGTACAAGATTCTCCAAGTCGATCAGAACGCAGACTATGCCGCCATTAAGAAACAGTACAACAAGCTTGCCCGTTATCTCCATCCGGACAAAAACAAGTTCCCTGGTGCTGAATCTGCTTTCAACACTATAACGGAAGCTCGAAGTGTTCTCTTGGACAATACAAAAAGGATTAAATATGACGATGACCGTAAAGGCAAAACACCTGCACCGTCACCTCAACACCAAGCTTCTTATACTCAGCCTGTTTCCAAGACAAACGTTGATGTGGAGGCCGCGAACAGCTTCACGACCGGTTTGAGACCTGAATACTTGAGAGAGTGTTGAGACATGATTGATTCAATCCCATAAAAAAAAAAGTCAATAATCCTTGCTGCATGAAACAGATATGTGATGAACTCAGAAGGAGGATCCCAAGATTCAAAGGAACGGGGGGATAACATCATTTTCCTTTCTAAAGAACGAGGACCATATGTGTAGAGTGATCTCTCTCCCTTCCACAGTTTGAAGTTTCATTTGATATGTCTTGTTTGGCTTCTTTGTCGTATCAGAATTAGACTGTTCTTGTGTACACTTACTTAGTACAGATCGCAACACCAAAATTGAAAGTAACTTCCTTTGTTCCACTCTCAGATCCTTTTCATTATTACTGCTGATTTAGATCTCAGAGAATGTTTGAGAACGTTAATAACCAAAAGAAAAAGAAAAAAAAAACAATCTTTTGAGTGATTCATAGTAATATGTTCGGCAAACAAACATGCAAACTAAAAAATGCTCTGCTTAAAGCTCTGATGAAAACAGAGGTGATTATTTCTTCTTCCTCGACTTGACAAGGGAGCGAACATTGGTCGAAACTGCAGAAGATTCTCCAAAAGTTTTGCAGCCATCCAGTAACTTGGTCGTCTCATTGATCCCGATATCACCAGTCAAGATTTTCGATAGGTTCTTCTCCGAGAATTCACCCTTCTTCGTCAACCGATTCTACAAAGACAACAACTTTGGACATCAATTCATCGCTCTAAGAGGAATTTCATCGAACAGATGGTGGGCTACATTTTGATTACTATTCCGAGACTAACGATCTTATAAATCAGACAGTGATACATTGCAATTATGGTGAATTTGATGTTTTTACCTGGTAGAGTTTAATGTACTTGGAGATCAATATATCGGTGTTCGAGCGAGGAAGATTGGGAATACCCAGAAATGTTCCTACACCGGACGAAGGAATCACCGCCGGTGTTTCTAGAGACGGCGGCATTGTGAGGGAAGCCGACTGTGCGGCTGTGAACTGTTTAAGATGGAACTTCTTCGCGGCAGCCGTTGCCGTTCTCAAAACCTTTCCCGCTTTGATCGCCATGGACAAGCACGACTATGGAATCTCTCTCTCTCTCTCTCACTCTCGACTAAAAATATTCACTTTTCCGATCTCCGTTTTGAGAAGAAAAACTTGAATGAAAAAGACTCTTACGCCCACAATCTTATATTCGTGTGAATTTCACCCCGTAACATTAATGTTTACATATATTACCCCCCAAAATATATGAAATCATCACAGCAAACAAAATCAAGATTATATTTTGTCAAGTAAGAAGATAATGTCATCAAAATTTTGAGATATCAGTAAATACAGTGTTCTTTATCAGAAAACAAGGTATGTACAAGGGTCTATCTGATATAAGTATAACATGATTTTTAATTTGCGTGGAGTCCAAGGGTACTACTAACAAAGGGTTAATTCATATTTCATCATAATGCAAAATTGTAAGCTCCTCTTATAGCCACCAACCACGAGATATATAGGAACTAAAGTAAACTTTCGTTTGACTTAATTCTTTTAGTTTATAAAGACTTTAGTACAAAGTTCTTAAAGATAAGAATACATTTTACAGAAAACCATTATTTGGTTAATATTCTTTTAATTTCTTTCACATTTTGTTTTGTTTCGGTTATACTGAAAAGTCAAAACAGAAACAAATATATTTTTTGTGCAGTAATTCTGAGATCAAAATGTAGAAAACTCTTGGCAAACAGGTTCTCGGTTAGTTGTAACTTGAAAGTGTAATAAGGCAGGTAATTAAATTCAGATATAGGTTTAACACGCAAACTAATGAAGAAACCAAAATAAAGATACGGCTTACGGCTATAAGACTAGCTTAAGAGGTCCTTGAACCTTACAAATCTTGAAAAGAAAAACCTTTATCCGACGAAAAAAAAGAGGGATGAATTTTTTATTTTTAGAAGAGTACAATAAAGAAAATTTATACGGTCCTTTCCAGAGTCCAGACCATATCATAAACTTATGTTTTGGCTAATTACCCAGCTACCTATTTTTTTTATGATAAATGAAAGAAGGTTAATGTTATTTTTGTCCAAATATTTTCGTAAGTAAAACAAAGGAAGAAGAGAAAGCAAGCTAATAGCCTATTACTATTAGTATATATACCACCAAAACGAGATAGCCTGAGGAAACTCCAAAAGATTCTGTGCCTGCTTCTTTTGTTCCATCAAACCCAAGCCAAATCCAAATCCACAAGTCCTCCCTGAGAACCTGCAACAAAAAACGAATCCGAAACTAATCAGGCACACCAAACGTCCCAAAGATATACTGTGAAAAAGATGTCATGGTTACTTACATCTTTCGTGCAGCCCTATCGCCATCTCTAGCATTACCTCAGCTGCTTTATTTAGTTCTATCACCCTTTGTTCCTCTACAGAAGCCTCATGCAACCCATTTTCTATGAAGTCTGCCTCCGCAAGCTTAAAAGCTGCGGTTGCTGAGGATTCAACAACCTTCGTCTCCGAAACTGAGGGTTTTTGAATGTTTGTCTGCCGGGGTTTCACATTGATATCTTTTGGTCTTGCCACAAGCGTTCTTGCTACCAAGCTATAATCATTCATCTTATAGAAGTTCTGCGTCTGTTGTGTGCATAGTTGAAGAACCAAAACATATAAAGCATGAGGAAACAACACAGATCAGGAAAGGTAAAAAAGAGTCGCACTTGTTCGAGAGCAAGGCTTTCAAGACTTATTGCTCGTTTTAAGTGGCTAACCTTTACAAGTTTTTTCTGAGCAGCAAGCCTCCTCAATCTTGAACTAAGGACCCTTCTAAAATTTATTGGCACTTCATGTCTTTGTTGCTATACACAATACCAGACCATAATCATGAACTTGATCATTACAGGTTAGCTGCTAAGACAGTAATACCGAACCTAGCAGAGCTTACTAGTTTTTATTATAAAGATAATCATAGTGGACTTCAGTGCAATAATTAGGATCAAACTATAACAGCAAAGAGTAGTTGAATAGTAGATGACTTGACATTGAGAACCCTAATGGTTAGAAGAAACAGATGAATAGATATGACTTAAGTCAAATCTTTTAATGAGCAAAAGTAGCTAAAACCAATGGTTCATTCTCATCTTTAAAAGGTACAGTGATTGGGTAGTTTGTTCAGAATCCTAGATAACTTTGGTATTTATACTGCTCACTAGATAAGCTACGCTTTCAGCATTACTGAATAAGCAGCTAGTATAGATAAGTTTTTCCTTAATAAAAATCGCAGGACAAAGAGCACGGAAAAAATATGTCTAACCTCAATGAAGTTATAAATTGCAGTGACATCAGATCCCTCAGCATCCGGCAAGGCTGAAAGAGCTTCAAATATCATCCCATCATACCTTAACAGAACAGAAGGCTCATCAGAAGCGTAACAACGCAAGTTGACTAGCAATTGACAGCACTTCAGAATCAAAAAAGTATCAAGTGCTGGCTCGGAGAAGAAGGAAATAAAGAAAAACAAACCTGGGAGCATTCTTTGAATCAAACACAATGTTACAACTATCATCGATACTCAAATCAGATCCACTACGAGCAAGCGGAGCAACTGGAGAACAGTTAGCACTATGAGTTGGAGTAACGAGATTAGCTGCAGCGTTAGCCATTTCAAAAGCAGCAGCTTTGATTTTTGGTGTCCGTATCTTATCCTTTGAGCCTTGAATGCCAGGGGCAACACTTAAGTTACGCCATTTATCCTAGAAAACATGAAACATGAGGATGATTAAGTTTCGTATACTTGCCATTATAGCGAATCGAACCGCTTCATCTCTGGAAAGCTAAAGACATTCTCAGGACACCAGAAAGATTCATTAGCAGGAAGTACACAAGAAACAAAGCAGTCAATCTGCTCACTTGACTCATCAGAGACCAAAACCCAATACAAACTCAAATCAGGAATAGTCTTCAAGTTTTAATCTTTTCAAATAAAGCCACTAAAGTTCAAGAATGTTGATGCGTAAACAGTCAATTTTGCAGAGAGTAGAAGTAACACATCGCACTTCAGTTCCCAAAAGTTTTCTCAAACCAAATTCAAAATTTTGCCACTCGAATGCAAAATTAAACCGAATTGACTCAATTCGACGCACCCAATTACAGATTTCCAATCCTGTTGTGCCTCGAACTTGATAAACTAGGGTTTGCTATGATTGAGCAACAGCAGTATAAAAAAGTAAATGAGAAGAAGGAAAAATGAAGACCTTGAGGTCGATATTGGAACGATTCTGGAGCTGTTCAGCGAAATCAGGGTCGCGGAGAATATTCTTCCACTTTCCTGGGCCGTGCTTCCTAACTCCGGCGAGCAACGTCTCCTCCTCCTCCGCTGTCCACTTCAGCTTTTGGTTTCCCATCTCTGCGTTTCTTTTATCGCCTCTTCGCTCTCCTTTGCAGCTTTGTTTGTGTATGTAACAAACACAATCGATGAGATATCGGAGACAGAGAACGTCTCGTCGCTTCGTTCGGCCGGCTTCGTTCCCAAAAACTACTTGCCTTATTTTTCCAGGATTATTTCTAAATCCCAAAATATAATCTTCCTTTTATTTTATTTTGTCCCGATCTCAATCTATAAATTGGTTGATATAGTAAGTTTGCAATTTAAGATGCGTATTGTCTAAATGTTTGAATTATATTGGGTAAAAGATGGAAATAGCTTAAAAACAGGACAAGAGTTTGGGTTAAATTATTATAAATAAAACATCAGGGGTCAAATTAGAACAAGCCAAAAGTATTGGGAACCCTACAACTTGTCCAACACATCATAATAATTCATTGAGCAAAAGCTTTCTTTCTCTAACTCCGTCGCATCTTTCGCTCCTAAAACCCTTTCCGTCTTCCTCTAATGGCGGCCAATCATAGCTCCGACGACGAAAACACGCGTCTTTACAATCCTTACCAGAAATTCGATGTCCCGGTCAGTCCTCAGCTTCTATACAAGCTTCCTGTATCTCCAGAATTCCTCTTCACGGAAGAGTCCCTCAAAAAGCGCCGGTCTTGGGGAGAAAATCTCACGTTCTACACAGGGACGGGTTATCTCGGCGGCTCTGTAGCCGGCGCTACAGCTGGGGTATTCTCCGGTGTCAGGAGCTTCGAGTTTGGAGACACGGCTAAGCTGAAGATCAACAGGATCCTGAATTCGTCTGGTCAAAAGGGTCGCGCTTGGGGTAACAGGATCGGGGTGGTTGGGTTGATCTACGCGGGGATTGAGAGTGGCGTGGTGGCGTTCACTGATAGGGACGATATCTGGACAAGCGTTGTGGCTGGTCTCGGAACCGGAGCGATCTTCAGGGCAGCAAGAGGGGTGAGATCTGCGGCTGTGGCTGGTGCTCTTGGAGGAATAGCTGCTGGTGCGGTTGTGGCCGGGAAGCAAGTGTTCAAGCGTTATGCTCACATATGAAGAAGAGGAGCCGAGCTATATGGGAATCATCAGAAAAAATCAGAGCTTTAGGGGGTTTCTAGTGTAGAATTTTGGTTTTCATGTTAGCTTAAATTAACCTACGAACCATTTTATATAATTATAATGATAAAGGTTTCACCTTTTGGTGTTTCGAATCTTCATGAGTTGTTTCGTTGATCATGCTTCTATCTTTTGAATTTATCCTCCGTTCTTGCATAATTTAACGGTATATAGATTGTTAACACTACATGATTGTTCGGCTGTGTGATTTACCAGAGTTCTCAATTGTTACTAGTTGGTTGTTTAATCTCTATTGGCATTTCTCAGCTTTCTAAAAGCTCTTGCCTTTTCTACTTGGCTTACTGCATATTGTGTTTGAAGTCTGAGATCTTGTTGTTCTAATTGACAAAGTGCCTTGTCATCTAGCATTACTAATGTAGCTTCGACATGAATTCTCTCGATTCTGGTTTTGACAAGATTTTTGTGTGTTAGTGTGTGTGTGTGTGACTACTTGTATCTTCTTTGTAACTAAAGTTCTCCAACAAGTTTCCAATCAAAGAAGATTAGTCATACTCTCAAATTTTGGGCTGTGGAAAGATTTTTATGTGCTATAGATGGAATGTTCTTGCGCAAATGTGACTAGCTCTTTCACAATAAAAGAATTTATTTCAGGAGACCAAAAAATGAAGTTATTACATATACAAGTTAGGAAATCCAACACTATGGGAGATCAACATTGAACTTTGGGTGGAGCACAAAATCATGAAAAGTCCAACAATACATCCTTCGCATTGGCTTGTTCATAATCATTGTGGTCGCCTTCTTCTGGTAGGTATGGGCTGCCATAGGAGGCTTAAACTAAGCAAGTTCATGGCGGATCTCAGAGATAGCCAATGATTTTTTGTCAATAGATCCTCTGTCTACATAGGAGATAACATGATTGAAACAAAAACTCAGGAATCAAACAAGTATATTCATTTATATTATTCCTTTTTTCAAATGAAGGTTATAAAATCTGATATTCCAGTTTGTTAGAAACCAACCTAAGAGGAAGATGTTGTGGGAAGGGGAACCGAATTGTGAGCAAGTAACACAGGATATGTGTTATGTACTTAATGTTCCTCTGTTCCAAACTCTCTTAGCTTGCTCAGTGCGGGCAACAGAACGGAAGCAAGATCAGGTCTGTCCTTTTTCCGCAGCTCGCAGCACTGCAAAGCCAGTTGAGCTAGCACCAGAGTCTCTTCCTCAGGCCAGTCTGACACTTTTGGATCCAAAACTTCACTTAGTCTCATTTTCTCAATTGCTTTCTCTACTCTATGGCTTAAACCCATTGCTGGCATCGCTGTGATGATTTGCAGAAGCACCACGCCAAATGAGTACAAGTCAGACTTCACTCCAAGCATTCCCGTTTGCTGGTACTCCGGGTCAATGTAACAAAATGTACCCGCTGCGGCAGTCATGTGATAATGGCTGTAACTATCAGCAACAGCAGGAGGAACCAACCGAGCTAAACCAACGTCACTGATTTTGCTGTTGAGATGTCTGTCCAGCAGAATGTTTGCTGGCTTCAGATCTCTATGAACCAGTGGCTCCGGTTTGGCCTGGTGAAGGAAAAGAAGCCCTGTGGCTATCTCAGCAGCGATTCTGAACCGTGCTCTCCAAGATAACGGTGGAGAATTGTCTTTGCATAAGAGACGATCTTCTAGTGTTCCGTTTTCCATGTACTCATACACAAGGCATCCATACTCGGGACAAGCACCGAGGAGGATCACCATGTTAGGGTGTCTCATGCAACTTAGAACCTCAATCTAGTGAGAGAAAAAAACCATAAGAAGAAGACATGAGATATATAAGGATGATGATGTCAGGTTATAATATTATTTACCTCTTGTTGGAACTGTTTGAGGCCTTGCGAGACATCTGACTTCAAGATTTTGATGGCAACAGCAGTGTTATCAAGAACGGCTCTATACACAGGTCCATAACCTCCTTCCCCAATCTTGAGGGCATCTGAGAAACCGTCGGTTGCACCTTCGACGTCTCTGATGCTGTATCGTCGATAGGATACGTTATTGGCCATCTTCTGTTCATTGAACCTGGCCTGCATCTCCACAAGTCTTCTCTTCTGGATCTCCATTTCCGCAAGGCGTTGTTTCATTTCGCCTGCTTGGATCGCACTCTGTGATTTCTGCTTATCCATCTCAGCCAATGCCCTAAGCATCTCTCTTGCCTTTGCTTCCTCAGCCTCAGAAGCAGCTCTAGGCCCTTGAAGATGAGGGGCCTGCAAGAATTCGTTCAATATATAATATTACTCGCACATCTCTAAAAACGTTTTCAAGGAAACATCCACATGAAAGTAAGTGTCTTACACTTTCTCTCCCCATGGAAGCATTAAACTGTTGCAGTTCGTGTCTCAACCTTCTCACCTCTGCTTCAAGATTTTGATTCTGAGGGTTTTCATGAACAAAGAACACGAACATCTCAGTATCCTGAACTTGACATTCTGCATACCTTAAAACACCAAAATATACGTTTTGTTTTACCTGGTATTCAGTGAGACTGCCTCCAGATAACCTGTCCTCTCCATCGATAATCTCAGACTACAGATTCGAAAGAAAATGTCAAAACGCTAGGCAAAGTGGAGGTAGTAAGAACATGGATTTGAAACGTGATAAGAATACTACTAACCAAGGATGTGGAAGAGTNGGGTTTTTGAATGTTTGTCTGCCGGGGTTTCACATTGATATCTTTTGGTCTTGCCACAAGCGTTCTTGCTACCAAGCTATAATCATTCATCTTATAGAAGTTCTGCGTCTGTTGTGTGCATAGTTGAAGAACCAAAACATATAAAGCATGAGGAAACAACACAGATCAGGAAAGGTAAAAAAGAGTCGCACTTGTTCGAGAGCAAGGCTTTCAAGACTTATTGCTCGTTTTAAGTGGCTAACCTTTACAAGTTTTTTCTGAGCAGCAAGCCTCCTCAATCTTGAACTAAGGACCCTTCTAAAATTTATTGGCACTTCATGTCTTTGTTGCTATACACAATACCAGACCATAATCATGAACTTGATCATTACAGGTTAGCTGCTAAGACAGTAATACCGAACCTAGCAGAGCTTACTAGTTTTTATTATAAAGATAATCATAGTGGACTTCAGTGCAATAATTAGGATCAAACTATAACAGCAAAGAGTAGTTGAATAGTAGATGACTTGACATTGAGAACCCTAATGGTTAGAAGAAACAGATGAATAGATATGACTTAAGTCAAATCTTTTAATGAGCAAAAGTAGCTAAAACCAATGGTTCATTCTCATCTTTAAAAGGTACAGTGATTGGGTAGTTTGTTCAGAATCCTAGATAACTTTGGTATTTATACTGCTCACTAGATAAGCTACGCTTTCAGCATTACTGAATAAGCAGCTAGTATAGATAAGTTTTTCCTTAATAAAAATCGCAGGACAAAGAGCACGGAAAAAATATGTCTAACCTCAATGAAGTTATAAATTGCAGTGACATCAGATCCCTCAGCATCCGGCAAGGCTGAAAGAGCTTCAAATATCATCCCATCATACCTTAACAGAACAGAAGGCTCATCAGAAGCGTAACAACGCAAGTTGACTAGCAATTGACAGCACTTCAGAATCAAAAAAGTATCAAGTGCTGGCTCGGAGAAGAAGGAAATAAAGAAAAACAAACCTGGGAGCATTCTTTGAATCAAACACAATGTTACAACTATCATCGATACTCAAATCAGATCCACTACGAGCAAGCGGAGCAACTGGAGAACAGTTAGCACTATGAGTTGGAGTAACGAGATTAGCTGCAGCGTTAGCCATTTCAAAAGCAGCAGCTTTGATTTTTGGTGTCCGTATCTTATCCTTTGAGCCTTGAATGCCAGGGGCAACACTTAAGTTACGCCATTTATCCTAGAAAACATGAAACATGAGGATGATTAAGTTTCGTATACTTGCCATTATAGCGAATCGAACCGCTTCATCTCTGGAAAGCTAAAGACATTCTCAGGACACCAGAAAGATTCATTAGCAGGAAGTACACAAGAAACAAAGCAGTCAATCTGCTCACTTGACTCATCAGAGACCAAAACCCAATACAAACTCAAATCAGGAATAGTCTTCAAGTTTTAATCTTTTCAAATAAAGCCACTAAAGTTCAAGAATGTTGATGCGTAAACAGTCAATTTTGCAGAGAGTAGAAGTAACACATCGCACTTCAGTTCCCAAAAGTTTTCTCAAACCAAATTCAAAATTTTGCCACTCGAATGCAAAATTAAACCGAATTGACTCAATTCGACGCACCCAATTACAGATTTCCAATCCTGTTGTGCCTCGAACTTGATAAACTAGGGTTTGCTATGATTGAGCAACAGCAGTATAAAAAAGTAAATGAGAAGAAGGAAAAATGAAGACCTTGAGGTCGATATTGGAACGATTCTGGAGCTGTTCAGCGAAATCAGGGTCGCGGAGAATATTCTTCCACTTTCCTGGGCCGTGCTTCCTAACTCCGGCGAGCAACGTCTCCTCCTCCTCCGCTGTCCACTTCAGCTTTTGGTTTCCCATCTCTGCGTTTCTTTTATCGCCTCTTCGCTCTCCTTTGCAGCTTTGTTTGTGTATGTAACAAACACAATCGATGAGATATCGGAGACAGAGAACGTCTCGTCGCTTCGTTCGGCCGGCTTCGTTCCCAAAAACTACTTGCCTTATTTTTCCAGGATTATTTCTAAATCCCAAAATATAATCTTCCTTTTATTTTATTTTGTCCCGATCTCAATCTATAAATTGGTTGATATAGTAAGTTTGCAATTTAAGATGCGTATTGTCTAAATGTTTGAATTATATTGGGTAAAAGATGGAAATAGCTTAAAAACAGGACAAGAGTTTGGGTTAAATTATTATAAATAAAACATCAGGGGTCAAATTAGAACAAGCCAAAAGTATTGGGAACCCTACAACTTGTCCAACACATCATAATAATTCATTGAGCAAAAGCTTTCTTTCTCTAACTCCGTCGCATCTTTCGCTCCTAAAACCCTTTCCGTCTTCCTCTAATGGCGGCCAATCATAGCTCCGACGACGAAAACACGCGTCTTTACAATCCTTACCAGAAATTCGATGTCCCGGTCAGTCCTCAGCTTCTATACAAGCTTCCTGTATCTCCAGAATTCCTCTTCACGGAAGAGTCCCTCAAAAAGCGCCGGTCTTGGGGAGAAAATCTCACGTTCTACACAGGGACGGGTTATCTCGGCGGCTCTGTAGCCGGCGCTACAGCTGGGGTATTCTCCGGTGTCAGGAGCTTCGAGTTTGGAGACACGGCTAAGCTGAAGATCAACAGGATCCTGAATTCGTCTGGTCAAAAGGGTCGCGCTTGGGGTAACAGGATCGGGGTGGTTGGGTTGATCTACGCGGGGATTGAGAGTGGCGTGGTGGCGTTCACTGATAGGGACGATATCTGGACAAGCGTTGTGGCTGGTCTCGGAACCGGAGCGATCTTCAGGGCAGCAAGAGGGGTGAGATCTGCGGCTGTGGCTGGTGCTCTTGGAGGAATAGCTGCTGGTGCGGTTGTGGCCGGGAAGCAAGTGTTCAAGCGTTATGCTCACATATGAAGAAGAGGAGCCGAGCTATATGGGAATCATCAGAAAAAATCAGAGCTTTAGGGGGTTTCTAGTGTAGAATTTTGGTTTTCATGTTAGCTTAAATTAACCTACGAACCATTTTATATAATTATAATGATAAAGGTTTCACCTTTTGGTGTTTCGAATCTTCATGAGTTGTTTCGTTGATCATGCTTCTATCTTTTGAATTTATCCTCCGTTCTTGCATAATTTAACGGTATATAGATTGTTAACACTACATGATTGTTCGGCTGTGTGATTTACCAGAGTTCTCAATTGTTACTAGTTGGTTGTTTAATCTCTATTGGCATTTCTCAGCTTTCTAAAAGCTCTTGCCTTTTCTACTTGGCTTACTGCATATTGTGTTTGAAGTCTGAGATCTTGTTGTTCTAATTGACAAAGTGCCTTGTCATCTAGCATTACTAATGTAGCTTCGACATGAATTCTCTCGATTCTGGTTTTGACAAGATTTTTGTGTGTTAGTGTGTGTGTGTGTGACTACTTGTATCTTCTTTGTAACTAAAGTTCTCCAACAAGTTTCCAATCAAAGAAGATTAGTCATACTCTCAAATTTTGGGCTGTGGAAAGATTTTTATGTGCTATAGATGGAATGTTCTTGCGCAAATGTGACTAGCTCTTTCACAATAAAAGAATTTATTTCAGGAGACCAAAAAATGAAGTTATTACATATACAAGTTAGGAAATCCAACACTATGGGAGATCAACATTGAACTTTGGGTGGAGCACAAAATCATGAAAAGTCCAACAATACATCCTTCGCATTGGCTTGTTCATAATCATTGTGGTCGCCTTCTTCTGGTAGGTATGGGCTGCCATAGGAGGCTTAAACTAAGCAAGTTCATGGCGGATCTCAGAGATAGCCAATGATTTTTTGTCAATAGATCCTCTGTCTACATAGGAGATAACATGATTGAAACAAAAACTCAGGAATCAAACAAGTATATTCATTTATATTATTCCTTTTTTCAAATGAAGGTTATAAAATCTGATATTCCAGTTTGTTAGAAACCAACCTAAGAGGAAGATGTTGTGGGAAGGGGAACCGAATTGTGAGCAAGTAACACAGGATATGTGTTATGTACTTAATGTTCCTCTGTTCCAAACTCTCTTAGCTTGCTCAGTGCGGGCAACAGAACGGAAGCAAGATCAGGTCTGTCCTTTTTCCGCAGCTCGCAGCACTGCAAAGCCAGTTGAGCTAGCACCAGAGTCTCTTCCTCAGGCCAGTCTGACACTTTTGGATCCAAAACTTCACTTAGTCTCATTTTCTCAATTGCTTTCTCTACTCTATGGCTTAAACCCATTGCTGGCATCGCTGTGATGATTTGCAGAAGCACCACGCCAAATGAGTACAAGTCAGACTTCACTCCAAGCATTCCCGTTTGCTGGTACTCCGGGTCAATGTAACAAAATGTACCCGCTGCGGCAGTCATGTGATAATGGCTGTAACTATCAGCAACAGCAGGAGGAACCAACCGAGCTAAACCAACGTCACTGATTTTGCTGTTGAGATGTCTGTCCAGCAGAATGTTTGCTGGCTTCAGATCTCTATGAACCAGTGGCTCCGGTTTGGCCTGGTGAAGGAAAAGAAGCCCTGTGGCTATCTCAGCAGCGATTCTGAACCGTGCTCTCCAAGATAACGGTGGAGAATTGTCTTTGCATAAGAGACGATCTTCTAGTGTTCCGTTTTCCATGTACTCATACACAAGGCATCCATACTCGGGACAAGCACCGAGGAGGATCACCATGTTAGGGTGTCTCATGCAACTTAGAACCTCAATCTAGTGAGAGAAAAAAACCATAAGAAGAAGACATGAGATATATAAGGATGATGATGTCAGGTTATAATATTATTTACCTCTTGTTGGAACTGTTTGAGGCCTTGCGAGACATCTGACTTCAAGATTTTGATGGCAACAGCAGTGTTATCAAGAACGGCTCTATACACAGGTCCATAACCTCCTTCCCCAATCTTGAGGGCATCTGAGAAACCGTCGGTTGCACCTTCGACGTCTCTGATGCTGTATCGTCGATAGGATACGTTATTGGCCATCTTCTGTTCATTGAACCTGGCCTGCATCTCCACAAGTCTTCTCTTCTGGATCTCCATTTCCGCAAGGCGTTGTTTCATTTCGCCTGCTTGGATCGCACTCTGTGATTTCTGCTTATCCATCTCAGCCAATGCCCTAAGCATCTCTCTTGCCTTTGCTTCCTCAGCCTCAGAAGCAGCTCTAGGCCCTTGAAGATGAGGGGCCTGCAAGAATTCGTTCAATATATAATATTACTCGCACATCTCTAAAAACGTTTTCAAGGAAACATCCACATGAAAGTAAGTGTCTTACACTTTCTCTCCCCATGGAAGCATTAAACTGTTGCAGTTCGTGTCTCAACCTTCTCACCTCTGCTTCAAGATTTTGATTCTGAGGGTTTTCATGAACAAAGAACACGAACATCTCAGTATCCTGAACTTGACATTCTGCATACCTTAAAACACCAAAATATACGTTTTGTTTTACCTGGTATTCAGTGAGACTGCCTCCAGATAACCTGTCCTCTCCATCGATAATCTCAGACTACAGATTCGAAAGAAAATGTCAAAACGCTAGGCAAAGTGGAGGTAGTAAGAACATGGATTTGAAACGTGATAAGAATACTACTAACCAAGGATGTGGAAGAGTGTGAGCTTCCTCCATAGGTGGATCGTCCTAGGATGCTGTAGAAACTAGCATTTGATTCAACACTCTGACCGCTGGGAGAGAGTTCATTGCTAAACTCTGACAGAGAACTCTTATTAAAAACTGGCTTGTAATGAGATGTAGGTGGAGAGAAATCTCCGTTTAACGCAGGAGATGACCTGCAAGAACAGTAAAAACCAGTGATTCTTTTGAAGCAAAAAGAGCATTCATTCACCAGACAGAACCAGATGAAAACTCAATTACCTTCCGGATTCACTAGAAGAAGTGGAGCTTGTTGGGCCAGGATCTGATACCATAGAGAGTCCAGGTTGTTTTGTGGGGTGGGGAGAGTGTTGCGGTGTCTGAAGACGACTCGCTGATCTGCTTGCTAAGAGCCTCCCTTTAGACACAATAAAGACAGCACATGTGTCTGGTGTTGTTTTAAGCAGAGTCGTTGGCACATCTGCGCTCTTAAACTTCCTGATTAAGACCATCACAGAGAGAGTTTTAGTATTCATGTTTGAGATTCAAGTCAGGTTAGATTAATATGAGAGAAAAAGATAGAGACTTGAGGAAGGAGTTTCTTGCAGAGGATCCAAGGACTATGTTTGCAATGGAGTTGTTGTTGATGTAGTCAACGATTGCACTTGAGATGTCAATATCATGGAGAAGAACCTCCGTTGCTATAATCTGATAAAACATTTATATATATGTGCTCAGATTTCATAATGTAAATGTGATTGTTGTTGAGAGAAAGAGATATTTGTTCTCTGACCCCTTTTCGAGCACAGAATCCTCTGAAGGGAAGGAAGAATTGATGCGCCTCTTCTTGGTTGTCATGTGGTGCTTCTGTGTTCTCTCCTGCTGCACCAATTCCTGTTTCAAGAATTTTTCATTAGTTTCATTGATTGATGATAGAGATGATGATGATGATAGAGATGTTGATGCCATTACTTAATTTGGTTTGAACATGAAGAAGGATACAATTTGGAGAATCGACAACAATATTCTCAACAGCCCACTTCAAAGCGTGTTGGCTGTTCTTATCTTTATCAATGGCTATGACGGTGTTTGGTTTGCTGTCTTTTCCTTTTGCTCTTCTTGCAGCCATGTTTCGTCGCCTTAAGAGCAGATAATATGTGAAACTTGTTTGTCAAGAAAACATATAAAAGACTTTTTGTGGTCTTTTACCCTCAGACCGAAGAAATGACAATGAAAATGGGAAACAAATTAAGAAGAGGAGAGGAGAGAAAACAGATTTGAACGAATTCAAATCCGTTTCCTTGAACAACAAAAGCAAAAGAGAACAGATTTGAACTGTTTTGTTGTTTGGGAAAATTTTAAAGCTTTTTAATGGTTTTTTGCACCTTGCTAAATTTAGGGGTTTAAGAAGTTTTTAATTTTAGTTTGACCACTTATCTTTAGAAAGTATTTTTGGAAATTCCATCTCATATCTTTTTGACAACATCTAGTAAATTGTATGAGAAGAAGTCTTCTGTGTAATGCAAAGATTAAGCGAAGCATCTTATTGAATTATATTGGCAAAGTCTTTACCTTTAAGAGGGGAAAGGACACGCGGCAACTATTTTGCCGTTGGTGAATAAACTAACGAGAAATCCGAAAGATCAATTAGTTGTTTAATTGATTGGATCAACGTGTTAATATCAAGGTCGTTGTCACATAAAGAATTTGGGATTCCGTGGAAAGCTAAATTATTCATTTTCTTTTTATTCTGTTTATCTTTTCATTTTGGGTAAACCATTAGATCCAGGAGAACCCATGTTTCGTTTTGGAAAGATAAAGATAAAGGTTTCGACTTTTTAGGTTTTTTTGTTCTTCTTGCGTGTGATTCATGTCCCTGATTTGAAGTCCTCTCTGTGTTTATTCTCCTTGCTCTTCAATTTCACCTGATCCTCTGTTTTTGTTTTCGATAAAGTTTTGAGCTTTGTGTCGTCGTCTCTAGTGATCTCTTTAGAAAAAGGCTGAAATTTGGGGGTTTCTAATTAGGGATTGGGTGAGATATTGAGTATTCGGCGTTTCTGATTCGGTGAGCTCAGTAACTACAGAGGATCTCAGGAGTGATCAAAATCCCGCGAGATACAGAGGATCCGTCGCATAGATCCGTCAGATCTGCTCACCGGAGGTACGCACTTCTTCTTGATTCACTACTCTGTGGCTAAGTTAGTTTGAAAGAACGGCTTTTGGATCGCTGTGGGAAGCTGAATTGGATGTAGTATCACTAGATATCATCAGACCATGGCGTAGAGAAGTAGATGGAGATTATTGAACCGTGTTGCTCCATTTGTAGCCGTTAAGCAGAGCATAGGAGCTCATGGAAGAGATTTCACCTGCAGTTGCACTGACTTTGAGTATAGCCAACACGATGTGTGACGCAGGAATGTCATCGACTTTAGATATCACCCAGCTGGAGAATGTTACTGATGCTGTTGACATGTTGTGTGATGAGAAAAGTCAAAGGTATCGTAATGGAGAGGTTGATTATACGATGGAAGATGTTTCAGAAGAACCAGAAGAGAAATCTTTATCTGAAGCGAGAAGCTTGTCCTCTGCTAATGATTTTGGTGGAAGTGTTCAAGAATCAGAAGAAGATGATGTACAAGTCTCTGATGCGACTGTTATAAGCGAGGGTTTAATCGTTGTGGACGGTAGGTCTGAGATAAGTTTGCCAGATAGCGGGCGGGTTCTTGCTACGGAGATTATCCTAAACGAGACAACAATAGATGAGGTTCCCACAGAAGAAGTCGTTATTACGAGTCTGAAACACGATCTTAATATGGCAGTGAGATCTTCAGATGTGGTCATGAAGTTGCCTGAAGAAAACCATTATGTAGAAAGAGGAAGCAGGAGTGTCTATGAACAAGATTCAATACCTCTCTGGGGCATGGTTTCAATTTGCGGTGGAAGATCTGAAATGATGGAGACTGTTAAAGTTTTACCTAATTTTCTGAAAATACCGATTAAAATGCTTATGGAAGATCATGAAGGGATGAGTCCAAGTCTCACACACCTCACTAGTCACTTCTTCGGTGTATATGATGGCCATGGAGGTGCTCAGGTATGTTGTAATTTGCAAATCTTTATAGAGAGTTTATCCAAACTACGAACGCTGAAGATCTTTTCAATTTATGTTTTGTTGCCATAGGTTGTATGTATATTTGATATTGGCTTTGCTGGAAACAGGAGTCTTTGCAGGTTGTTATGTAATATATGTTGGCTTTGGTGGAAATGGGTTCTTGCAGGTTGCTGATTTCTGTCATGATAGAATCAATTTTGCTTTGGTTGAAGCAATCGAACGGAGTAAAGAGGAATTGTGCAAGAAGAACACTGGCGAGAGTAGGCAGGTCCAGTGGGAGAAAGTCTTTGTAGATTGTTACCTGAAGGTCGATGGTGAGGTCAAAGGAAAAATCAGCAGACCTGGTGTTGGTTCTTCTGACAGGATGGTTCTTGAGGCTGTTTCCCCCGGAAATGTCGGATCAACTGCTGTGGTTGCTTTGGTTTGCTCATCACACATAATTGTCTCAAACTGTGGTGATTCAAGAGCCGTTCTACTTCGCGGCAAAGACTCTATGCCTTTATCAGTTGATCACAAAGTAAATAATCCCTCCTTTTCCCCCCCAATAGTCTTGAGAAAGTTTCTTACTTCTCATAAATACAGAGCTAATGAAGTTTCTTACCCTCTTTTGCAGCCAGATAGAGAGGATGAGTATGCAAGAATAGAGAAAGCTGGAGGAAAAGTTATACAAAGGCTAGGCGCTCGTGTTTCTGGTGTTCTTCCCATTTCTAGGTCTATTGGTAGGTCAAGATTGCAACTACTACCTGTTATAGTCTCTGCAAAATCACTAGATCTCCTCAAGAGGGTTTCCTATGCATCTTTTTCAGGTGATGAATATCTGGAGCCATATGTAATACCAGACCCTGAAGTGACGTTTATGCCACGAGCAAGAGAAGACGAGTGTCTTATATTGGCCAGTGATGGACTTTGGGACGTGATGAGTAACCAAGATGCTTGCGAGTTTGCAAGGAAGCGGATCTTATGGTGGCACAAGAAGAATGGAGCATTGCCTTTAGCTGAGAGAGGTGTAGGAGAAGACCACGCGTGCCAAGCCGCGGCTGATTATCTCTCCAAACTCGCTCTTCAAAAGGGAAGCAAGGACAATGTCTCCATCATAGTGGTCGACTTGAAAGCTCAAAGGAAGTTCAAGACTAGATCTTGAAGCAGTGTACGCTTCTCTTTCACTATTATTATTTCTTATTTGTTAATTTCCACAAGTTTACATAAAAAAATAAAAAATGATATGTTGGGGGAAGAAGAATTAAGACCTTGGTGATGATGATGCATAAAGTCCATTCCTTTTTCTCATGGACTTGAATGTGTATGTTTGCTATATGTATAAGAAGAATAGAAGAAGAAATGTTTTATTTTTGGTTTTATAATGTTGGGATATTTACAAAAAAGTAGATGGGATATGTTGTAATATTGGAGATGTGGCTAAAGGAAATTGTAATTGAAATCTATGTCACATTAACCTTGATACTTCTCTGTAATTTATTAAATATATATGTATTAATACTTGTAGCAGAGTATGTGAATTGTGGATTGTGAACTGATATTGAGAGAGTGATTCTTGTAGCCTTTAGAATTCTCCTATTGTTTACTAAAGAGTAGAATACTAAAAACAATTACCGGAAAGACCCTAAAAGTTGGGGACATTTTAAGATAAAATCCTCTTAGTGCTAATCAAACAGAGACCTGACTGGTGGATAGATGGATGAGAGCTACATAAAGAGATAAATAACCGATAGGGTAGTGTGTGGTGTTTTGTCTCAAAAAATGTGCTGAGCCAAAGTAAGGATCTTGAGCTGTTAAACAATGTGCTGAGCCAAAGTAAGGATCTTGAGCTGTTGTCTGATGCGCATCTCGTGAGGGACAGGACCAAACACTCTGGTACCAGTGGGTTGGTTATACTCAAAGTGCTTCTTTTTGCCATCAGACTTCCTCTTCTCCTTGTCCTTATGAGTTCCCACAATTACAACCGCATTGTCATCAAACCTGACTTCGCTTCCATCAGCACGCCCTTTCTGCATCGCAGCACGCACAACCACACCGTACACGACCGTCCCTTTCTTCACTTTACCATTTGGTGCCGCATCTTTCACTGAACCAACAATGACATCGCCAAGTCTTGCTCCTTTCTTTCCCCTTCGTGCTTGAATGCACATCACCTTCTTTGCACCGGAGTTGTCCACAACTTTGAGAATCGTCCCCATTTGAATGAATGTCCTGTGTTGCTGCTGCTGCTGCCAATTGGAAAATCATCAGGACACACAATTTCTCAAGGGTTTCTCTCAAAATGTAAAAGGAAAAGTTCATAAAGGCAAAGATATTTTGAGTATTGACCTGAGAGAGGATGCTTCCATTCATCAGTCCATTGGAGGAATTCGTCAAACCAGTGAAGGCATTGCTAATCCCGCCAAGTAACGAACGTCCTCCTGCTCACAATGTGGATAAATCATCATATCAAGACAACAAGATCCAAAGGAAAAAGATTTTGAGTGATATGAAACAACAAGAACAAAAGGTTGACTCTTTAGTCTGCATTTCGTGAGCCAAGCAAAGTCCATGACTCAAAAATCAGTAACAAATTCAACAACACAGATATGTGAAACCAACGATAACATATATTCTCAAAGATCTGATCTTTTTGGCAGCAAGACTCACAAGAGTGTAGAAGATTTACTCTCGATTTTTGGAAGAACGTAACTTTACAATATAATAATATATATAAACCCAAAATTGGAATAAAATAATCGCTATAAGAAGACAATGGAGCTGAAAATGTACCTTTGGGGAGTCTGGAAGCTAAAGCTGCCGCCATTTCTGCAACCGTAGCTTTTGATCTAAATCGCTCAAGACAGGTTCTGAGAGTGTACTCAAATTGTGCTACTTACACAGATCCTCGAAATTAGGGTTCGTACAAGGAAGCAAAGTGGGCTTGTATGATGCTTAAAAAAGGTTATTATAATAAAAAAACGTTTACATAATCAAAAGTTAGCGTGCCGGAGTGGTTATCGGGCATGACTAGAAATCATGTGGGCTATGCCCGCGCAGGTTCGAATCCTGCCGCTGACGTTGTTTTTTAGTTTTTCACTTTTTCCTAATTCCTTTCACGGAAATAATTATTTCTATATGAAAAAATATATTTTCTTATTTTGCATATTTTCAAACTGCAGTAACAATTATGGGCCACACACATATCATATGTTTCCATATTCTTAGATTTAGTTTCCCTCTTATTCATATTCAATACTTAGAGATTACTATGAACAAATGTTACAAATCTTAAGTTGTTTCCACTTTTTTTGTTTCCTTCCTCCTCTTTCTTAATTCTCCAGGCATACAGACTGTGTATAGTCCAGAATACAGAATGAGGATAATATTTTGAAAATTTCTTAATCAGAAGAATTTTAAGTTTTAACCGCTGAGATGAGTAGTTAGTTTGAAATCTCATCCGGATTAATAACGTATACCTCACCGATGCCGTCCATTTTCAAGCTACTATGTGAGGTGTGGGACCCACTAGTATCTCCTATCAGACAATACAAAAAGCCCCAAATTTGGTGAAGCGGAGCTCCAACCAAAATCAAATAAACGAAACGCTTTTGAAACTCTCCACCTCTGAGGACACTCGGAGAGATTACAGACACCGATTCAAAATCCAACCCCGAAGCCAAAAAGGCCTTTCCTTTCGAGAGATTTCCGGTGAAAAGACGTTGACTTTATACACCCCCCAAGTCTCCCGGAGAGGACGCACCTAACTCCGGAGCTAGAGAGATTCTGCTCTAAATTTCGTTTTAAATGGTGAATTCAAATTTCCCCCTTTTACATTTTTTTGTTTTTTCCGAGTGTCGTTTTCGGTCTCTTCTTCTCTCTTTGTTCATTTGAAAATGTTTAGCCTTGCTTCGTTAAAGTTGTTGCATTTGCTTTCTTTTCTCGAGCCTCTACTTATTGATCTGCGATTGTTTTGACTTCGGCGAGATTTTGGTTTGACTATGTCTAGCTGGTTCGAAAAGCTTTCTCTCACTCTGAATTATAATTTTTCCTTCGAAATCTCGTTTTCTAACATCTCCCTGAAGCTGCAAAATAGATAATTTGTGGCCTTTAAACACGATTAATTCTCTTGGAGGCAGTGATGCTGATGTTTTTTGTTTTGGTTTTATGTGATGCTGATGTTGTTAAATGGAATGCAATTTTTGCAGGCTGCTCCAGTCATAATTGTGGGCTCGCATGTGTGGATTGAAGATCCGGATTTAGCGTGGATCGATGGTGTAGTCACTCGAATCGATGGTGTAAACGTTCATGTTAAAACTAAGAAGGGGAAAACCGTAAGTTCCATAACCTTAAACCTTTTTATTTACTTGTATTCAACAAGCTCTTGTGTGTGTGTGTGTAGACTAAAGAGTTTGAATAAATGAGCTCTGATGAATTACACATTGAGAAACTTGTACATTTGATTTTGGAATGGGATACCCTAAATCGTTAGTTCTCACCTTCTGTATTGGAAGTAGATGTAGGTTTATTGTGCTTTAAGTGCTATGCTCACACCAAATAACATACTAAATGGAGGAAAAAGAAGTATAAAGGAAGTTATAGGTATGGATTGAATGTAAAAAATGAAAGTTTTTTCTCGGTTTTATGGATTGAAGTATATAAATCTTCCAAGCTTTTCGTTTGGCAGCTATCTTGATATGTGGTGGGAAACAACTTAATGTGGTAAAATGCAGTGTGAGACGGAAAAGCACAATGTCTCTCTCATGATTATCAGTTGTCATTATATATGCTGTTAGGTTCTTTGTCATCAAGTAAAGATGTTCGTACTTTCTTGTTGGTCATGGTTCTCATCTCATATCCTCATTTCATATTGGGTTTCAGGTTGTGACGAATGTATATTATCCCAAGGATACTGAAGCTCCACCTGGAGGTTTAGATGACATGACAAAGCTTTCATACTTGCATGAGCCTGGAGTCTTACAAAACCTGAAGACGAGATATCAACTTAATGAAATCTACGTAAGATATCTTTCCCATTTTCCAGCGTCTCTTACTTTTTGTAGCTGCAGAGGGAGTTATTTGAGATAAGATATGATACTAATGAGGCTTGTGTTGCTTCTGTAGACATATACGGGGAATATCCTAATTGCAGTCAATCCATTTCAAAGGCTGCCTCATATTTATGAAACCGACATGATGGAACAGTATAAGGGAATTTCACTTGGAGAACTAAATCCTCATGTTTTTGCAATCGGGGATGCTGCATACAGGTTTGTGCATGCTCACACCCATCTTCATTATACTTCTATCTATTTTTGAGAGAGTTTGCTGATTTTGTTAAGCTTATGATATTAGGGCAATGATTAATGAAGGCAAAAGCAATTCGATTCTGGTAAGTGGAGAAAGTGGTGCTGGTAAAACCGAGACGACAAAGATGCTCATGAGGTACCTTGCCTTTCTGGGAGGGAGGTCTGGTGTAGAAGGACGGACAGTTGAACAGCAAGTCTTAGAGGTTTGTGTTAATTTTTCATGAGTAATGAGGATGATTCTATATATGGTTGTATACAACTTAATGCTTATATTCCACTGAAATATTGCAGTCCAATCCGGTTCTTGAAGCATTCGGCAATGCCAAAACCTTACGGAACAACAATTCGAGGTGCATTCACCCTCTTTCCCAAACCGGGGTTTATCAGCTTATAGTTCATTAATTAGTAGTTTGTTAACTCCTAGGGTTATTTTTAAAAGCTTGTTTCCTTCACAAATTTAAATGTTTTTTATTATTCTTCCACTGTTGTCTTAAGATAACTCGTACTAATGTTTTTTTGGACGTTTTCATTCTTCTTGATGGCAGTCGTTTTGGTAAATTTGTTGAAATCCAATTTGACAAGAATGGAAGGATATCAGGGGCAGCTATTAGAACCTATCTGCTTGAGAGGTCCCGTGTTTGCCAAATCTCAGATCCCGAGAGAAACTACCATTGCTTTTACCTTCTTTGTGCTGCTCCGCCAGAGGTATCTCATAACTATTTTTCTTATTGACACATTATGTGCATGATCATCCCATGCCGATGTAGTACTCATTTTTTCTATTTTCTTGGTTATCTTGCAGGATATAGAGAAGTACAAGCTGGAAAAGCCACAGTCATTCCATTATCTAAATCAGTCAAGTTGTTATGAACTGGATGGTGTTAATGATGCTAGCGAATACCTTGAAACCAGAAGAGCTATGGATGTAGTTGGAATCAGTAATGATGAACAGGTCCTCAAATTGATGTGTTGAAGAGGTCAGGTTTCCGTTCTGCTACTTTAATGTTAGAGTCTGACATTTTAAAGTAATCTTTTCAGGAGGCAATCTTCAGGGTGGTTGCTGCGATTCTTCATCTTGGTAACATTGATTTTGGAAAGGGAGAAGAGATTGATTCCTCGGACATCAAGGATGAAAAGTCGCGATTTCATCTTAACATGGCAGCCGAGCTACTTATGTATGCTCCCTCTTTTCTTGCTATATCTGAAACTATTTGTCCATTTTTGGTTCAGTGGATTATTCATTGTTCTCTGTATTGTCCACTTGTTTTGATAGGTGTAACGCACAGAGCCTAGAAGATGCTCTTATTAGGCGTTTGATGGTTACACCTGAAGAGATTATCACGAGAACGCTTGATCCCGATGATGCAATTGCGAGTAGGGATACACTGGCCAAGACAATATATTCTCACTTGTTTGACTGGTGAAGCTATTCAACCAAATTCCGTCTTCCATTTCCCAGTCTGGCATTACATATGTACATATTTTTTCATAATGCATTTTATCCTATCGTTTACAGGATTGTGAACAAAATTAATACTTCCATCGGGCAGGACCCAAGGTCAAAGTCGATTATTGGAGTTCTGGATATCTATGGGTTTGAAAGTTTCAAATGCAATAGGTATTGTTTTACGTTAAAACATTTTCTTTTTGCTTTCACCTTTAATGAAATAATTCCTTGTTTTATTTGAAAGATCATGTTTTGTCATCCTCAGCTATTTCAACTGAAATATTGTATGTTTATGATTAAGTTAAATTTTCACTCACTATTTCTTCTCCAGCGTCTCCGAATTTAATAGAAAAACAAGAGTTAGATGTGAAGTTTCCTTAAATTAAGTGGGTGTTATATAATGTGTGTCAAGATGTTTGAAGGTCACTGCTAACCGTGGTAAGCTAGCAGATTTATTTATTTTCGAAGTTGTAGTTGATTTCATGTATGGTTTATTATGCAGTTTTGAGCAATTCTGCATCAATTTCACGAATGAAAAACTGCAGCAGCATTTTAATCAGGTTAGTATTTTCTTTTGCGCTAATTTATCAGATCCTTTGCTTATTTTGAAAGTAAATCGTACTTATTCTTGTACCACTATTTGCAGCATGTTTTCAAGATGGAGCAGGAAGAGTATTCCAAAGAAGAGATCGCTTGGAGCTACATAGATTTTATTGATAACAGCGATGTTCTTGAATTAATTGAAAAGGTATGTTTCTTCTTAATTTTACCAGACTTACATTTCAGTATTAGGGTTTAGAAGCAGAGGTCTTTTACACTGCACAAATATACTATATGCTTTCCCTTTTCTTATGTTGAAATTGCGTGTCTTCATCAGAAACCAGGAGGCATTATTTCACTTCTGGATGAAGCCTGGTATGCTTTATCTTTCTCATATTGACTTGTATGCCTTTTCATAATATTATCCACTTATGTTTTTTGGTTGGTTCGACACAGCATGTTTCCCAAGTCTACACATGAAACCTTCTCCCAAAAGTTGTTCCAAACGTTCAAAGGGAACAAGAGATTTTC